TTTGCCTGCATTTGTTATAACTAATGACTCATTTAAATGCCTCTGTCTGTGGGCAACTGGGGCCCAGTGCCAAACTAGAAGGAGGGGTAGAGAGTGGCTCGCTCAGATAACCTCAGAATCAGGACTAGGGCTTCACTTCTCCTTGCTTCATCCCCTCCTCTCTGTACCACTGGGTCCATGGGGCTGAGTGCCAGTTTGGCCATCTGCCAGCTGATGGACCTTGAGGCAAGTTACTTAACCCTTTTGAGTCTCAGTGCACTTGCCCATAAAATGGGGAAAATAATAGAATCATTGTGAAAATTGAAGTTGTAAAACTTGTAGGCCTTATATTCTTTTTCATATCTTCTCCTGTTCTGTGAGGGTAGAGGCCTCATGAAGACCCCTCATCTTTGAGTCCAGGTAAGTATTAAGGTGGCCAGTATTAAGAAAATGAAAGTTATACCCCCTACCCTCCTGCCTTTTTGCCATGCTTGGGATTGAACCCAGGACCTTGTGCATGGAAGGCAAGTATTCTATCATTCACCTACACCCTTATTAACCTCAAAGTCAGTTGTTTTATTGAACACTAAATATACATGTCGCAGTATGCTGAAGTGTTTTCCGTATGTTCTTTGCTGTATCTTAAATCTTATTATCCACATTTTGCAAGTGAGGAAAACAAGCCCCCACCCCAAAGTTGGAAAACTTGTTCTGAGGTTTCCTCACTTACAAAAGAAGGAGCTAGAATTCCAATCAGGTATGCCTGACTACATAGCCACTTCTGAGCTCACTGTGTGAGGAACATCCAGGGAGTAGCTAGATGCTTTATAAACCATGTTCCCCACTCTACTTTTAGAAATGCTGGTGAGCAATAAAAAAAAATCATCTCTGGAGCTGGCAGATGTAGCAGGGGATGAAACTCAGGATGAAGTGAGGGTGACACACATCTGTCATGCAACTATTCAGGGCTTGTAACCATGGAATGGAGAAGAGTTGGAGGCCCAAGGAGCTTCAGGAGCCTGGCTAGAGTTAGAATAGGCACCAGGAGCCTTCTTAAGAGACCAACTAGTCAAATTCTGGCAAGAAGACTGGAGAGGAAAAAAATTCAGATGGGGAAGTGATTTGTAAGGTCACTTGGCAGAGGAACTGGTATCTGAAGTGAGGGTCCTGACTCCCAGCCATGCACTCTTCCTGCTACACCAGGCTGAGGTCAAAGTTGAGAGGCAATGTCCTGTGAAGAGCTCTGGGGAAGGCAGGCTGGGTGTCTTGCAGCTCCTTCTTTGTTCTGTAGCTCCTCTCTGAAGCCAGTCAGATGTTTAGTATCCAGAAGAAAGAGCTACAGCCTACTATCAAGCAACCTGAGTTCTGGTCTCAACCTGAAGCTGGCATGAATGGTGGGCACTCAGCAAACCTCTGTTAGATCAAATTGGGTCTTGTCTAGACCATGATGTTAAGTAAAATAAGCCAAATGCAGAAGGTCATGTTTTTCTCATATGTGGAAGCAAGAGAGTAGAAAGGAAAAGAAAGGGAGGTATCTCATGAAAAGCAAAGGGAGATCAGTACAACAAAGGAAAGGGACTAGGGGGTGGGAGGAGGGGAAGAAGGGGGAAAATGCTGGGGAAGGATATTGGTTAAATTATATTGTTATTGTGTACATGAACTAATATGTAACAATGAATCCTACCATTATACATAACTATAATGCACCAATAAAAGATTTTAGAAAAAGAATTGGGTCTTTCTCTACTTTAGAGGTGATATTCAGAGAATTTAGAGGATTTGCCCAAGCTAACCCAGCAAGTCAAGGGCTGAACTGATGCTCAGATCCTTAGATGAAGCCCACCAGGGGTCAATCCTTCTCTGATTACAGTTTTAGAGGGAAGGTCAGGGACACTTTACCTTTCTTGCTTTTCATCTTCCCTTCTACTTCACCTCCTCCACCCACAGTCTAGGGATAGCCTGAGGTGAACTCAATAGTCTTCTATCCTGACCTTTCTCACTCTTCTTTACTTCCTCTTTTCCTGGCAATATTTTGGTTTTTATCCTTACGCGTTGACTCACCTTCAGCAGCACCTTCTCCCTACCCCACCCTCCAAAATAATCTTGAATGCTGCTTCCTCTGGAAAACATCAGGTAGAGAGAGAGAGAGAGAGAGAGAGAGAGAGAGAGAGAGAGAGAGAGGAAGAAGGAGGAGGAGGAGGAGGAGGAGGAGGAGGAGGAGGAGGAGGAGACAATGGAGGAAGTGGGAGCCTGAGGCGGTATGCTGGTGGAGTTGGATGCTGGTGATGGTTGCCCAACAATGCGATTGTATTTAATGCTTCTGAGCTGCACACTTAAAAATGGTTATGGTGGTAAATTTTATGCTATGTATATTTTAATACAACAAATTACCTCTATGAATTAGAGTGATATGATACAAGTCAAGGAATGCCATGGCCATTAGAAGCTGGAAAAGAAAAAGAAGAATTCTGCCCTATAATCTCAGATGTCTGATCCTCCTGACTCTTTGATTTTTAGCTCAGTGAAACCGATTTTGGACTCTGCATTCCAGAACTTCAAAGAAAAAAGAAATCGGTTGTTTCCAGCTACCAAATTTGTGGTAATGTGTTACAGCAGCCACAGGAAAATTATATGCTGATCAACACCCTGCTTCCCTGGACTTTCCATATCTGAACTCAGAAGAAGGAAAAGGAAAGGGAGAAAAAATATCATAGTGTCCTTCTATTCCCCTCACCTTTGTTGGTGTCTCTGTGTCAGTGAGACCCATTGTTTGAAACAGTCATTACTTTCTATGCCATAGTATAGACATTCAGTTGAGGGTCACAGATGTCCAGTGAGCTTTCCATGGTCTACTGGTTGGTGGCTGAGCTCAGATTCAAACTGACTATGTAAGTCCCTCCTCCACCCCTACTTCCCTAAATCCACTGTCTCTGCACTTATGCTATTGATTTTATTGTGTCCTAAGAGTTCAATGTTTCATGATTATTCCACCCTTGTGTGCCTTACCCAGAAGCACAATTTAGAGTGAAAGGTAGATATTGCATATTTTAAAAATTTTTTAGTTGTAGATGGACTTGTTTATTACTTTTATGTGGTGCTGAGGATTGAACCTAGTGCATCACACATGTTAGGCAAGCACTCTACTGCTAAGCTACAACTCCAGCCCCAGACACTGAATATTTGAGGACTGCTGAGGAGGAGCTCCTAGGCTGTCAGGAGAAGGCAGGGACTTTGCCTGGCACACAGCCAAGTGGAAAAGCTTTGCTAAATGTGTGAATGAATTAACAAAGGAATGTGGATGAAAGGAGTGTTGCTTCTTGCTGTGGTTGACAGCTAAACTCTAAGTGTTGGAGGCATCCATGGAGAAAGTTTCTACTTGCAAATTTCTTAGAAGAGGAATTCCTGATCTTTCTGAACTGGCACTAAGCAGGGCCCTGGACATAGCCTTATTCAGTTTACAGTCCTGGGGAAAATGAGATGAGCTACATGGATGCTGTCTAAATAATGATTTTCTGATTGCAACTAAGGTGGGAAGAAAAAGTGCTGATGAGGGAGGAGAGGAAGCAGAACTTGGAGACAGCAAGGTGCAAAGGAACAGTCCATTTACATTTGGGCAGTGAATGGTTGTTAGTGGGGGAGCAGGGAGGACCCAGGGCAGAACAGAGTCCTAGTAGGATTTATGTGGTCCTTTCTCCTCCCTATATTTTCTCATCAGAGCAAGGCTCTCCTCTCCCAAAACAGCCACTTTTGGTTGCTCTGAGGCCTTCAGGGTCAGCCCTTGAGAATGTTTCCAAGTATCCCTCTGAAAGAGTCCCTGGCCTGACCTAGGTTGCAGGGCCAACTCTGCCACTCCCTTACTGTGTGACCTTGGATAAGTCATGCTTCCTTTCTCAACCATCTCTTTTCTGAGCCCAGGGTGTGGCTTAGACATGTGTCTCCTAATGAGCAGGCTGAGTACCCAGGAAGTCTCAGGATCTGATGAGTTCCTTGGAAGGGATTCTTTCGTATTGTCCCTTGTGAGTGATTCAGAAGGGGCACAAAACACATGGCAGTTGTCCCTGAGTATCTGGGTGGTGGGCTGTTTCCAATTCCCTTATATAAAATGACATGGAATTTGCACATAACCTATGTATATCCTCACATATGTATTAAATACTATATTACTTATAATATCTAATAAAATGTAAGTTTTATGTAAACAGTTCTTATACTGTATTGTTTAGGGAAAATTTAAGCAAAAATTCTGTACTCTGGATGCCAAATCCTGGGATATACAGGGCTGACTGTACCTGGTGAGACACAGAGTAAGGAAATGCTTCCTTTCTTCCAGTCTCAGTGTCTTCCTCCTATAGGAGGGTAACAGTGTCCTTGGGGGCTGTGGAGGTGGAATCAGGAATGTGAATGACTGGCTATGCCTGTGGCCAGGGATTATGATTATGCATCCAGCAAGTTCCCATTTTCCCAGAATGTTCTCCACCAAGACCAAGAATTTGGCTGAGTTTCTTAGAAGAGCTCTGTGCCCATTTTACACATGGAGAAGCCAGGTCCAGAGAGGGGCTGGGACTTGTCCAAGAGCAGCAGTTGGCAGGTGCTCTCAACAGTCTCTAGGTCCCTGGCCCCAGGCGGTGATCCCTCTATTAAGCCACTCCTGCTCTGTCCCAGGTGGAATCCCATGGCAGGCCAGGCGTGGCAGCCTGGTGGTTTCCCGCTGCTAAAGGACCTCGGCCTTTGTGCCACGCGGGCACCACCTCCTGGCCGGCCCCTCCCTGCTCGAGGGACAGCCTTTACCTGTCCTGGACGACACCGCCCCGCCAACAGCTCGGCTGACTCCTCATTCAGCACTCCAATCTCGGTGCTGCTGGCCGACAGTGCAGAGCACCTGCAACAGCAGCAGCAGCAACAGCAGTGCAGGAGCTTTGATTCACTGCCGGCTGCCCCTCCATCGCGGATCCCCTCCCCCAGGGCTGATAATTAACTCGGAGGCTGAATAAGAAGTGAGCAGTCCGGGCGTGGGGGAGGGATTTGCCGCCACCGCCATGGACAGTAGCACCTGGAGCCCATCGCCCACCACCACTGCTGCTCCTTTGGAATCCTATGAGCGCATCCGAAATGCTGCAGACATCTCTGTCATTGTCATCTACTTTGTGGTTGTGATGGCCGTCGGGCTATGGGTATGTAGGGACCCTGGACCAGAGCTGAAGGGGGGCGCACGAAGGGCTGGTGTCCCTGAGCTGCCAGGAGATGGATGCAGGCAAGTGGGAAAGCATTAGAAACCCTTGAGAGGTGTTGAGGGGTGCAATGTGTGGATGGCAAGCAAGCATGAACTTCAGTTAGAGGGGTTCCCAGGGGAGCATCAGGAAAGCCAAGAGATTCCTGGGGCCTGTGAGCAAAGAAGGAAGGTGGAGGATTGCTGAGACAAGGAGAGAGTATAAAGGGCAGGAAAGTGCCAGGAGGCAAAGAGGGTCAACCAGGTGACTACTGCCTTATGTTAGTTAACCAGCTTCAAATGGGAAAGAAATGGTGTCAAGCCAGAAAGTCACAGCCCCTGTCAGGCTCAGGTGCTTGGGGCAGTCTGTGGGGGAGGCTGACCCATGTCACTGCTCCTGGGGAAGGTTAAACAAGAGGCCTTTGCCAGGGAATCCCAGGGGCTGGAGCTAATTAGGAATGGGGAAGTTATATGGAGTAGGAGGAGGAAGACCAGAGAGTGCCCTGGTGCTGCAGAGAGGGAAGTGCATGTGTCTCCCCTTGGGACTCTGGGGACACACCAAACCAGAGAAACTTGTTCTCTGCATCCTGGAACTTGGAAAGTTCATTTATGACAGACTCTGGCACACCTAACACTAAAAGAGAAGGTGTTTTAAAAGCATGCAAATATTTCAGCCACTTTCAAGGGTTGTCCTGGATGGGGGTGACAGATAGAGGGGGCTGCTGTGCCAGTCAGACCTATTTGTGTTGAACCCTTCAGACTTAGAGGGAAGGATGGGCACTAACCCTTCTATGGGCACTGAAACTTTCAGGAGTAAAAGGAAGTGTGGATTTTTTATTTTTTTAAAAGAAATTATAGGGTTGGTGTGGCTTATTCTTCTTCAATATTCTCAGCTTCCCCCAAAACAGTAGGAAATATTCAAGCAAGAGCCAGAATATTGGCTTTCTCAGCGTTGAAACAAAATGACCAGGTAAGATAGCTTCCTATAGCCCCAGTTTACCCAGGAATAACATAGGTACAGTTGCATCTAATCTTATGACTTCTCAAAGATATTGTGAGGATCTGCAGAGATGAATCTGCAAACTTTTATAGACTTTGGGAATTTTTTTTGGAATCTCATTTGCCCTACAGGGTGTCACCCAAACTCTGAATAATCTGGTCTGTTAAGGAAAATGGGCAAAATGGTTAGCTGGGTAGAACATCTATACAAAAAGCCACACGACATAAATAAATGCTAATCCCCAGTTAACAAAAGAGGAAGTTGAAACCCCATGTGGTTGTGATTTGCCTAAGATTTTGCAATACATGGGGTTGTTCCTGGAACTCAGGTTATCATGACTCCTGGTTTCTCAAGGTATCAGGCACACTGTCACTGTGTCTGTCTTAATACTTCCCACTCCTCCCCAGCTTATATTCACTGGAGCCAAGATGTGAATCTATCATTTGGTAGCCATGCTATACTGCCCATTTCCCTGACAATCCCGATAATCTCAGTTTTGTAAACCAATCTCTTTAGCCCTGCCAGTACTACAGATGTTTACATTTTTTATGGTATTTGCACTTCTGAAATATCTGTGAATCAGTACCACTTGTCCTTTTAAATGCTGGTTAATGAGCCTACTAGTATTTGTCGGCACATTTAATCTTCCCCCATTAGCAGTGCCCCTGGACCCTGATTATTTAACATGCTGAATTTTTTCCAGTCAAGACTCCCCTTTTTGCTATGAAAGGGTTAAGAGTGACTTTGGGATAGGCTTCTGACTCATGCCTAATCCCTGGATTGCACAGATACAAGGGTCCAGGCCCATTTTAGCAACATCCCTCTGTCACTATCCTGTCACTTCCAATATTCTTCAGTAGTTTCATATTCTTCCGTCTGTGTCTCTTTCGATCATATTTGAGCTTTGGATTGTGGCTTCTTTGGTATTTATTTCCACTTCTATTTCCTCTCAGGTGACTTCTTGGGGGACTTTATATCTTCTGAAAATGAATCTCTATCCTTGTCATGCTGGAACATTTCAACTATCCTCTAACTCTCACTGGCTAGGGTTTGTTAAAATTATAGTCCATGAGCCAAATCTGATCCACACCCTGTTTTTGTATGATACACAAACTAAAAATACTTTTTACACATTTATCTCTCTCTCTTTTTGTCTGTCTATCTATCTATCTATCTATCTATCTATCTATCTATCTCTCTCTCTCTCTCTATTTTGGTACTAGGGATTGAATCCATAGGCATTTAACTACTGAGCAACACCCTAGCCCTTTTTATTTTTATTTTTTTTAAATTTTGAGACAGAGTCTTACTAGGTTGATTACAGCCTCACTAAGTTTCTGAGGCTGGCTTTGAACCTGTGATCCTCCTTCCTCAGCCTCCAGAGTCACTGGGATTACAAGTGTGTACTACCACACCCAGCTGCTTTTCATACTTTTAAAGTGTCATAAACAAAAACCAAACTAAAACAAAACAAAAAATGGGGCAGCATGTATCCCACAAACTACTAAGTATTTACTATCAGGCTCTTTTTCCTTACAGAATAAATTTAATGACCCCTGTCTTATGTACTGAGCTGGAATGCTGTCTAATGCCTGAGCTGGAATGGTGTCTGGGTGAACCCTAACTTTTTTTATTTTACAGATTAGGATCAGAGAGGGTGGCTAGAAGTCAATCAGATGAATCAATACAGAGCTGGAATTAGGACCCAGGTCATAGATACCAAACCCAATGTTCTCTCAATATTCTTTCTTGCCCCCTCTAAGACACTATTCTTTTTTGGAATACTCTCTCCTTTGACCTTTCAGCCACTGCATTACAGTGACAGTGTCTAAATGGTTCTGAGTTTCTTTTTTCTGTGTATATCTTCATAAAGATGAGACCTAAATTTATTGACTTCAATCCTCTTCATCTTATGCTTACATCTCTTCTTTAACCCATTTGTCAAAGTTACTTTGGCTAGTTGTCAACAGCCTTGACTTGAATACTTTCAGAAGAAAATCTTCCCAGTGGCCCCATGGCCATCTCTGAACAGCTCTGACAAAAAGGAGCTGGAACCCAGCTTCAACCTGACATCCTGGGGCTTCTCCCATTTTTTGTTATGCCATATGCAGGATGCACTGAGTGTGACTGTCCTGTTTTACATATCAGAAGGTAATAGGCCACACCTGAGTCTTCTCTCCAGGCCCAACATCTCCAGTTTCTTAATCTGTTCCTCATTTAAACTGAAGTCTAAATTTCCTTCCTTTTGCTCAATGATGTTTGTATTCCATTGAGAAAACCAAACCAACCAAACAAACAAAAAAAATTCTGAGTTAATTGTTCTTCTTTTGCTCTCACAGCTTGCCATTGTGAGTTTATTCTCTTCTAGTTGTAGGATAGAGCGGCGAATTTAATACTATGGTTTACAAAGTGAACCCTAGGACCTTGAAGCTTTTTGTGCCTATCCTAATCATGAGACAGTGCCTTTCCATGCATAAGGCATTTACTGAGTTCTATAGGGATTAAAAATTTGAAATATGGTAACACAAAGTAAAAGAACATGTAAGAACTTTGAACAAGGTAACAATGGAGTTCTCTAGGTGTTCAGAGGAGGGAGATTATTTTTGCCTGGGGAAGGAAAGAGTTCATAGAAGATATTTCCATGGGGGGAGTGTCAGGTAAGGTTTCACAGGGAAGGTGAAAGGTGAGAGGCCTTGACGGATGGGTAGGCAGAGATGAGGAGGGGATAACCATGCTGGAGAGGAAAGGCCTTGCGGAGGTGCACCTCTCTTTACCTTTGGTACATCTCCAATATCTTTTCTGAATTACTCCAGCTCCCCATTCTAGACCCTGCCCTTACATTCTTCCTCTAGTCTCTTCATTTCTGAAGAACTTGGAAATCTTTGTATCTGGACCTCAACCTACTTTGTGTCTGGACCTCAACCTACTTTTCCTGTCTCCCTAATCAGGCTGGAGAGTATCACCTTCTTTGACTTCAGAATGAATTTTCCCTAGTCCACCATTGGAGGCTAAGTCATTGGGATTTATTTCTATTTCAGCCCTAGTGACCTTTTTATGTGCTTTTAGATCTGTTGGCTCTCCTGTTATTCTCAAAACATCCACTATAGAGCCCTCAGAGTATGTTCAGTGGGATGGAAGACCCTGCTAGGAGTCCAGAAAGCCCTGATGTGCTCTGCCTAGTACTGCCTAACACCCAGGGAGGCTCAACAAATCTGTTATTAGATTAGATGCATAAATGATCCTGCTTCTTAAAGGACTATCTATGTCTAATACTTCACTCCAGTGTGAGCACCAAGCAATATATCGTCTGCTATACACTTGTTTGCTAAATGAATGGAAAGTTCCTAAATGCCTGAATTGTCACCACCAGAGGTGAATTTCTTTAGACCAGTGGTGCCTTTTAGCATCATGGTCAACTATGAAAACACAAACCTTTCAAAAGTATGATTTTTCATTTGGTACATTGATATTCTTGTAAGAAACAAACTATTTCTGTTTGAGCTTATTTCTGAGCTCAAACAGAAATAAGCTGCAGTCTCAGGTTCAACAACTAATACTATTTGCCATTCCTTCCCTCCCCAGCCTGGGTGTAGTTCCACCTCTTGATCACTGAACTCCTGAAATCTCCCTCCCTTTTCCTTTAACATGAGTCTGGTGGGGCTAAGTCCCTATCAGTCATTAATATTTTCAGGGAGATTAACAAGTGTCTGCTGAGAGAAAGCCAATGACAGAAAAGAGGAAGGGAGAGGAGGACCAGGGACAAGAGCAGAAACACTGCCCATTTTGTGTAGAAAGCCTGGACCTGGGCCTGGGCCTGAGCTCAAACAGAAATAAGCTGCAGTCTCAGAAACAAAGAAGGCTTGAGAAGAGCTGGTCATCATGCATTAAACATACATGTCATATTTCTCCTCCTAAGCCTTCAGTGACTGCTTATTGCTTATGAATACAGCCTGTAACTTTTAGCCTGGCATTTGAGATCTTGGCTCACCTCTTACCACTCTACCTATTCATATGCCGTAGTCAGTTTCAACAACTAACATTATTTGCCACTTCCCTCCCCAGCCTGGTGTAGTTCCACTTCTGGATCACTGAACTCCTGAAATCTCCCTCCCTTTTCCTTTAACATTTGCTGAAATGCTGCCCACTCCTGGAAGCCTTTCCTTTTATCCCCTTTTTAGAAGAAATTGTCCCCTTTCTCTGTATTTACCACATTAGTCACAATATATCGCCAAAGAACGATTCCAGCAAGCTCCTACTTACATCTTCAGGGAGGGATAAATTTGTATTGAGTTTGAATGTCTGTTTTTTAATGTAATAGTTAGTATCAACATCTTGCAATCTTACAGTATTTTCCTTTTTGACAATAGCTTTATTAAGATACAATGCACATACCATACAGTACTTTTCAAAAGTATGATTTTTCATTTGGTACATTGATATTCTTGTAAGAAAGAGGTAAAAATTTCTATTTCCAAAAGGTATTAGAGGAGAGGAGGAAAGAGAGGTACTGGGGAACAAAATCAACCGAATTGTATTGTTATATCTTTTTTTGTGTATATATGTGTGTGTGTGTACATGTATGTAAATATGCACATATAATGGTAAATCTATTATGTATAATTATAATGCACCAATAAAAATTTAAGAGTTGCATTTCCTCCAATTTAATATGAAAACAAACAGATTCAGGTGGAGGGGCTTGTTCAGAGCCAATTGCAGAGTGAGCTGGTGTTACCAGCAGCCTAGCCCAGAGATCCTGCCTGGATCCTGACTGGCTGGATCTGGCCACCCACCCACACAAAAGGCAAAATATGGAAAATAAAAATGAATTTTTTGCAGTTTGGTCAAACTAGGAAGAAGCAGTGAGTTTGTTTATCTACAGGACCCATAGAAGTGGTTATAATTTGTAGAAACAAAAGCCAGATGGCATACATATGTATATTTAGTTACCTGCACTAGACAGACTGGGGCAGGGAGCGATTGCCATTCTCAGTTTCTTTGGCATCCCCCAGGCTAACGATTTTATTCCCAGTATGAGGAAAGACACAATGAGGAAAAATACTTATCAGGAAGTTGTCCTTAATTTCAGTTTGTTTCACTGGCACTAGGGGAATTGTTTAAGCCTTCTGAGCCTCAGTTTCCTTGTCTGTTAACTGTAGGGCCCTGCCTCCATCATCTAAGTATCGTGAGGGTCCAGGGGAATAGGAAAGTGAAAGAAGGTCAAAAAGTGGAGTGGTTAAAGAAAATGCCAGAATGAGGAGGTATGTCCTTTGGCTGGTAAGGTCTTTCTTCTAGTTTTCTATTAAATTTTGGACCCTTTCTTCCTTAGGCTATGTTTTCCACCAATCGTGGGACAGTTGGAGGTTTTTTCCTGGCAGGCCGAAGTATGGTGTGGTGGCCGGTGAGTTTTTTTCTGAAATTCTATGTGCTGGGGTATTACCTTTAGGAACCCATATTCTTCCTTCTTCCCTAAATTCTGGATATGGGTCACATGCTCACCAGGTCTCCTGAGCATTTATAATCTCTTATTTTAATGGAATAGCATTTAAATAAGTAATGGTTGGAATTCATCAAGGGATAAATAAAGGAAAAAACTTCACAAGGTGGGCAGTGTGGAGAAACAAGAACACACAGATCGAAGTATTCTTGGACAAATCTGAGTTTCCATTTCTCTATTTATAAAATGGAATTGATTATATTTACTTTCCAGAAGTGTTATGAGAAGTGGGGACCTCTTCTATGGTGGAAAATCTGTAAATAGAAGCTCTTTTGCTACCTCTTTCCTACTTTCTCTCATTTAAGAGCAATTTTATTGTCCTCCCTTTTCTGGAGCTATTTGTGGTATCTGATACATAGAGACACTCACTGAATAAATGGAAGAGGAGAATTCCACTGTTTTCAATTGTAGTTCTTAACCTTTGGTGAATTTTATATTTTGCATATTTAAGTGGTTTTTTTTCTATGATACTTTCACACAGACAGAACTAGCTCAATCAAAGGACAGGTGCATGGGTGTGAGAGAGTCTACGATATTCATCCCATCATATCAGCACAGGGTTCTGGCTGGGTTATCAATTTAACCCACTGACCATTTTGATCCAGAGTTCTCATTGAAGCAACTGATTGAACAATTTGTCCAAATGTTGCAATTCCTTGGGATTAAAATACAAGTGAGATTGGCTGGTGAAAAATGGGCGTAATGGCACATATATACAATGAGAAGGGATGACAGTGGTAAGTTGATTGGAGAAAGAGAAGCAAGAAAGTAAAGACTGTCACTGTTCTAATATATATTGCCCAGAGAGGACTTCACAGATTATCATTACATCCTAAAGTTGGCCTTTGACTAACTATTTTAGAATGAATTTTAATAATTGGAATTTTTACAGTTGCTTAGGTTATTCCTGAAGTTATTTCTATTTAAAAAAATTTTTCAAGTAAAAATTTTATACATTTATGGTATACAATGTGATGTTTTCACACACACACACACACACACACACACACACGGTGAGATGATTAAATCAAATTTACTAATAGACTCATTATCTCATGTTTTTTGCAATAAGTGTATTTAAGATCTAATCTCCTAGCATTTTTAAATATATATATATATATATATATATATATATATATATATATGTATATTTTGTTATAGATGGAAACAATACCTTTATTTAATTAATTTATTTTTATGTGGTGCTTTGGATTGAACCCAGTGCCTCACACTTTCAAGGCAGGCTCTCCCCCACTGAGCTACAATCCCAGCCCCTCTCCTAGAAGTTTTTAAGTAGACAATCTATTGTTATTAACTATGGCCACCGTGCTACTTATTAGATCTCTGGAATTAATATAACCCAACTGAAATTTTGTACCCTTTAACCAACAACTTCCTATCCATTCCCAATACTGTATGAGTCAGCACTTGGCAACTACCATCATATTCTCTGTTTCTATTAGTTCGACCCTATTATATCTGCATGTAAGTGGGACTTCGAAGTGATTTATATTTTATCTTTATGCTGGCCAAAAGTACTGGGTAGATGCTGACTTTGTGATGAGTCCCTCATGGTAGTCTTTTTTTTTTTTTTTTTTTTTTTTAACTCCTTGTGGGTAGAAGCACACCTATTCTACTGCTTCCTTTCAGTTCTGTGTCCATGCTTTTTTATCTTTTCATGTTTAGAATTTGGTACTTCCTAAAAGCAGGTGTGAAAGTGGCAGCTCTGATCCCAAAGTTCAAGCAAAGTTTGGGTATCCTTTCTGGAGCTGTCCTGTCCAATGTGGTAACCGCTGGTCACATAATCTATTTAAAATGAAATTAATCTTTTAATATGTTTTTGTATGCAATTTGCCAGAATTTTATTGAGAATTCTGCATCTATGTTCATCAGGAATATTGATCTGAAGTTTTCTTTCCTTGATGTGTCTTTGTCTGGTTTTGACATCAGGGTGATACTAGCCTCATAGAATGAGTTTGGAAGGGTTCCCTCCTTTTCTATTTCACAGTGCCAAGGCAACTCCCTCAGTTGGCATCTATCTAGTGCATGGTATTTAGTAGTGCTCAGTAAGGGGAAGCTTAGTGTTCCTGAAATTATTGCTGCTGATGTCTTAAATTTAACTTTTAGGTTCATTGTATGAATAAATTGAGATGATTTATATGCATATTTACTTAAATTCCTGCAAATTATCAATTCCAGGTACACATTGGCTGCATTTTAAAATGAATTTGTTGATTTTCAGGAGTATAAATAAAATATGTATACACACACACACACACATGAATCACGTTAATTTGTGTTGGGCTGATTTTCAAAGCCAATCTGAAGCATTCCATACGTCAACTGATAATGTTTGTTCTCTCTTTGAGATACATGATACATTTTATGATAGTTGGTGTCTTAGATGCATTAAAATATGGTGTTATAGTCTGGATCTAAAATGTCTCCCAAAGACTCATGTGTTGAAGGCTTGATTCCCAGTATAACAATGTTCAGAGATGGTGGTTTTGGGAAGTGATTAGATCATGATGGCTCTGACCTCACCAGTGGATTAATCCATTGATAACTGAATGAACTACTGGGAGGTGGTAGAAACTATAGGCTGTGGACATGGTTGGGGGTGTGCCCTAAAGGGTATTCCTTGTCTCTGTCTCTGCTTCCTCATTGTCATTAACTGAATAGCTGTCCTCCACCATGCTCTTCTGCCATGATGTTCTGTGTCATCTCATACAATGGAGCTAACTGAATATAAATTGAAATTTCTGAAACCATGAACCAAAATACATTCTTCCTCCCTAAGTTGTTTTTCTAAGGTATTAGCAATGCAAAAGCTGACTAACACAAATATGGTTACATTCTTTTAGATGTACTTCATGTTTGTATTAAGTATGTCAAAATGCACTCTACTGTCATGTATAACTAAAAAGAACAAATAAAAAAACCAAATATGGTTGCAATCTAAAGTGTTTTTATACTATGTTCACTAAAACACTTGGGCTCTGAAGAAATGCTTCAGTGGTGGTTTTTCTCCTCTTTACTCCCCAGCAACTCAGTTTTTATTTATTTTATATAAGGGGAATCAACTCACATTTTGTTTGAGAACAACATTCTAGTGACGTATCAAAGTTTAAAAACTGCTACTTTAGAAAAAATAAATAACCACAGTGATTTTCATTCTAGAATTTAAAACATTTTTTTTTTAAATACATAGCGATATACACCTGTAAGGAGGAATTAGAGGAAAACATGGAAATCAAGAAAATACGCATTTAAGAACTTTCCCTCCAAAACTGAAAAATTTAGAACATCGTCAAAACTATACATCTCAATTTCTCTTTGAAATATAATATGAAGTCAGTTCAAACCTGTCATTGTTCAATAAGTCCATAACCAGAATATCAATTCTCAAATGTGCTGGCCCAAAGACATTACAGAATCAAAGGCTCTCCAGAGTGGGGATATCTCTCTTGGCCTGCTGGCTGTGGCAAAAACTTTCAGTGCCACAGTGGAACCTGTGCCCCTTCCTTCTGCCTTTTGCCCAGTTGTTTTGTGCTGTAGAAAGAGAATACATCCAGATAAGCTTCTGAAAGATGGCCCAGGGAGATTTTAGGAAGGGAAGACCTGTGTTGACCCTGGGTTGATACTTGAGGCATGGAGAGCTATAGTGTTACCCACAAGAAAAGTCAGAAGAAATCAGCTCATAAAATCTGAAAGGAGACTGGATATAAGAGGCTGGTTCTGTGCATTTCTAGGATCTAAGGGAGCTTTGGAAAGAGTCATTATGACGTACTCCAGGTGAAAATCTGGGAACTCTAAAACAGGCCTCATTCCTAAAAAGTTAGTGAGTCTGGTAGAGGAAAGGAGTTTGTACCTTGGCCTACGAATAGAAGTGAGGGACAGTTAGTGGGGAAACAGCAGACTCCAGTGCTGAAATTACAAGAAGAGTAGCTTCCACAGAGAGCCAGGCAGGGGGTGGGGGGCCCTGCAGGAGCCTGAATCACTCTTAAAGCAACCCAAGCCAACTCAACTGAGTAACAGAAACCATAAAGTTGTACTTCTGTAATTGTGGACTGGTTGGTAGCTCAGGATTCCCTTTTTGGGGGGCACTTTGGGCACTTTTAACTAGCAGCTCCCTGTGTGCTGTATTATAATGATTATTTGAGGGATATGGATGATACGAATGCAGGAAGGCCAGGAAACTTAGGGGCTGAGTTTTGAAAGGGAATTTCCTATTCCTGGGTTATAAGCAGCAGAAATTACTCAGAGAAATAGGCCCCCAGATATACATCCTAGGGAGAACTCTTGTTTTGGAGAGGAATTTGGTCATAATGATACATTGTCAGAGTGGACTCCATGGGAGCATGGGGCACAACAAGGCTGGGCCAAACCCTTGGGAACTCTTTCTACTCAGAAGTAAGCATTCCAAAGGGCAGGGAGTGAGAACTGCACAAGGAACCAAAGGACCTGACTTAACCAAGCCTTGTGACATTGGGAAATTCATTAACTTCTCTAAGGCTTCAAGAGTTTCCTCTTTAATTTTAGGGGTCAGATGAGGAGTCTCAAATATCGGTTCTCAAATGTGCTGGCCCAAAGACATCATTACAGAAGCCAGAGGCTCTCCAGAGCTGGCATCTCTCTTGGCCTGATGGCCACGGCAAAATCATTCAATGAGTCTCAAAGGCTCTTCCAGGACTGAAATTCTAAGATTGTATGCCCAAGAGAAGGGGAAAGTAAAGGAAATGGGTATGGCCACACTAGTTCATCAATTATCAGCGAAGACCATGGGGATTATAGTGTCTCTGGACAGCCAGAATTCCTTTTCTTCTTTTATTGTTAGAGAATTTACAGAAAGCATTGTATCCCAGTGCCTTAGGGAAAGTGTTGGCAAACTTTTTCTGCAAAAG